ATGATTTCTATTTATTGCCTATTGGAGCAATAATTGGAGGATAAACATTTCATGCTGGTTTAAAGTTGGACTCTCAGAATGCAGAATTTCGAATATTTCTCTTGAAATTAAGCATGAATTTTTTTTGTGTAGATACATAATTTTCGATAAATTACGTACATTATCAGTGTCATCTATAAAGACTATCGTCAACTATCTTGTACAACTTTCCAACGGCAGGAGATTCAAAACCTCAGGTCTATTTGCATGTTTTTATTAATTATACCTCAAAACTTTTGTTTCTTAAATATACTCAAACTATTGTACAACTATTTAGTAAATTTTAAACATAATTACAATTTAAGAACATACATTTATATTAATTCTTTAGGACTTCATCCAATGAACCATAGAACGTATAATTCCAAGATGGAAGCAGCCGATGCTTTTAGCGTTGGTAGTAAACCAGCTGCATCAACAGTGCATTGTTTTTGTTTTCGTCTCCAATATTAGATTTGATATTTATTTTCAGCAATTAGTTATACTGTGATACTCTTTCGTTTACTGTAATTCAACAATAATCATTTGATAAATAATGAAGGTGTATTCCAATACAATTACATATTTGATCGTATGACAATCATTTGTCAGATTTTGACAGGCTACCGTAAAATAATCAAACAATTATAAGATCAGTATTCTGTCTAACGTTTTAATAAATTTCTTTCTCGAAACTCGGCAGTCAGTGTACGGAGGAGACTTGAACATGATTGGATAATTAAATGCTCTTATTACGCAAGGTGCTGATCAATTTGACGCTACTTGCTGTGATTCTCGTACTGTTTTACTGCTATCAAACGTCAAATGGTATACACTGGGCATCACATACTGCTACAGAGCAGGAAAATGTTTCGACCACTGAGTCGAACGGTTCTGGTGAGGATACGATCTCCACAACTGTATTCCTCCCAAAGGAAAAGGTTTACTACAATGTCTGGTGTATATTCACAAAAGTTGCTAGCAACTCTCCGATGAGAAAGAAGTTTGAAATTTTTGCAGAATCTTTACTGAGATTATCCTCTGTGGACATAGCATTTCATGTAATAATTGATGATGACAGTAAAGATGTTGCTGAGAAAGTTTTAGGGAACGTTCTCTTATTCACAGGAAAGTTTATGAAGGTAGGAGAATTTGTTTTAGATTATGATTTTCTGAAGTTTTTTTTTTTAAATATGTTTTTTTCTTTATCTCAGGTGCAATATTATGATGTACACAAGCTAGCATTGCAACTGCAAGACATTGTGTCTGTAATGTCTCCACACTTCAGTAGCAAGCCAGGAACTTACTATTCTGATGCATTATTTTTCTTGTCCCTTGGCTTGCATCGGATAGCTCCAACTGAACAAAGCATTGCAGCAATGTTTGATGTTGACACTAAGTTCCGTAAGGATATCAAGGATTTATTTGAAGAATTCAACACTTTTGGGAATCAAGCTCTGTTTGGCTTGGCTCCAGAGTCTACACCAGTTTACAGACATGTTTTGTATTTGTACCGTAACAAGCATCCTAACACTCTGTTTGGAGAACCTGCTAGCTCTGGTGGTTATCCTGGCTACAACAGTGGAGTAGTGCTTTTTAACCTTGACAGACTAAAGAATTCTTCTGTTTATGAAAGAATTGTTAAAAAGGAAAGTGTTGATGCAATGACTGAGAAATATCATTTTAAGGTAACAGACATAGTGCAATGATACTATTTCATATTTTTTTGCCAAATTATTGAGTTTTCAAAGTATTTACAGGGTCACTTAGGAGACCAAGATTTCTACACTCTTTTAGGAATGGAGAAACCTGAATTGATCCACACCATAGATTGTGGATGGAACAGGCAGCTCTGTACATGGTGGAGGGACCGTGGTTACGCAGACGTATTTGGAAATTATTCCAGATGTGATTCACAGACGAAATTATGGCACGGGAACTGCAATACTCCCATACCGGATGATTAATCGTCCATTATAATTTTTACGACCATGACGAGATGTCTATTAGAAAAGGGCACAATCTATAATTATTAGTGACATAATTTAAAAGGTTTAAAGAAAATTGTACCTGTAGCTGTTCGAATATAGTGTTCAAAATGTTTCTCACGTTATGAATTCTGGAATCTGTGATTCTTCAGTGGCAATATGTATATCCATATCACAGGTGGCAATATTTAAAAAAAAGTTAGTTAAGTTTGAGGTGCCTATAAACTATTGTATTTTGTTATTTTTCAACATTTATTTTATATCAATATTTGCCAGGTACGCATTTTGTAAAAAGGATAGGTGCTATTTTTTATACAACATACAGATGTGAAAAATTGTTGAACAATAATGGATTAATTAATTTTAACAATGCTGTTGTACGAACATATCTTTTTCAACAATTAAAGTATTTATGTAAGCATGTAGATGTGTTCTCATTTTTATAGTTCCTAGTTAATTGTTGTAAGTTGTAACAAAAATCAATGACATTTCTTTAATTTTAATGGAACTATAAATAATAACATGTATAAATAGAAGTGTCGCCATAATA